GTGTTCTTTTACCCTATTCGGTGTAAAGTAGCAGCCATCATTTGTGTTACCTCGTATATCACTACACCAGTGTTTTTTCACCCTATTCGGTGTAAAGTAGCCGCCATCCTTTGTGTTATCTCGTGTTTCACTTCAATAGAGTTCTTTTACCCTATTCGGTGTAAAGTAGTCGCCATCATTTCTGTTATCTCGTGTTTCACTACACCAGTGTTTTTTCACCCTATTGGGTGTAAAGTAGCCGCCATCCTTTGTGTTATCTCGTGTTTTACCATACCAGTGTTTTTTTACCCTATTCGGTGTAAAGTAGCCGCCATCCTTTGTGTTATCTCGTGTTTCACCACTTCAGTGATTTTTCACCTTATTTGGTGTAAAGCAGCTGCCATCCTTTGCGTTATCTCGTGTTTCATTACACTAGTGTTCTTTTACCCTTCTCGGTGTGAAGTAGCCGTCATAAAGTAGCTAAAATTTATAATTACAATAAGAGTCATTAAAGTTTTTACAATACGATATAAATAATCCTTAATTTAAAATGCATATTTACATTAATTTTTAAAATAAATAAAACATATGTGAAGCATAGAGAGAATATTAAGAAAAATTCGAGCTAGGCTTAATAGAATGGAAATGGATAGAAATTATACATTATTAAATCATTGAATACAGTTCTCAGAAATTTAAAAATTAAAATATAATTATCCTTATTACACAACTAAAAAGATACTTTCATATTTTAATGGTGAATTTTTGTTTGTATTGATGAATATTAGCGTAGAAGGCAATAACAAACTCTCGCCATCTTATTCAGGATTGCAAACTAACTACTGGCGAAATTCAAGCGCCGCCAACGGATTTTTTTTTCGTGTTTTAGGCAGTGAAAATAATTCTTGTATGGTGGGAAACGCGAGAGTTTGGTGAAAGCTTATTCAGTTTTAAGTGTTTACATTTAGATTACACCCTATAAATCGTATATGAAAGCTCGATTTGGTGTTAACCTAAAATATAATGTTCGTTCACTCAATTTTGGGATTGTTCAGCATCAAATTGGAGATATATTTAATCAAAGTTTTTGCAGTGTATGTCTCAATTTAAAAATATGTGTAGTAGAAAAGATAATTTAAATGAAGAGCTGAATCGATAAAAGTTCTAAGCGACAATTTGCTAAATCAGAGTAATTTTGCGCATTCTTAGACTTTCGTTCTTATTTGCAGCCGAAAATCTTTTTAAAGTTCTTTTTATAGTTAAAAGTCTATAAATCTTTTTATAGACTTTTTAAAGTTAATTGCCGACTGTTTACCAAATGCACTTGAAACTTACTTCGACTTTAAAAGCACTTAAAGTTTGCTACTTAAATATCTTTATCCACTGTAAAATTAAAGATTTGGCCAGATAAATTAATTATGTACAGTTAATTAAACTTAAAGTGAGAACTTTTCCCGGTAAATCTTAGTTATTTTTCCAAAAAAATCTCTACGAAACTTCTTTCCCTGATTTGAAATATCTATTCATTTCATTAAATGCAATCATTGCTACAATATTTGTTATTTTCTCCATGAAAACGAAAAACCAGTCTGTAAATAATTGAATTTGTTAATTTAGCATGTTATTACAATTTTCAAAAAAATTTTTATTTGTTAATTTAAAAATTTTAATTTGTAAGTCTGAAGTTTGTTAATTTTTAAAAAAAAAAATCTGTTTAATAATTAACCAAATAATCAATTTATTAATTTATTTGATCATAAATGGTGTTTGATTTTGTAACCGTAAATATAAGTTTCTCTTATTGTTTCAATCGTAAAGCTGCTTCTTTTTATCTCAATAAAGAGAAAAAGATCGAGTTTTTTTCAAAAAAAAGTTTAGTCATTTAAAAATAAATAATTTAAAAACAAATATGATGCCAGAGCATTTCCGTTTTCAAGACTTAATTATGCATTTAAAAAGTCGTTAGTTTTTAAGTTTAAAAAAAATTGTCAGTTTTTAAATTCGTTAAATTTGTTAAATTTTTCAATTAAAAATTTGCTAAACTTTTCAAGAAAAACTGTTTAATTTTAATTCAATTAATGCTATTCCAATTGTTTTTATCTAGCGATTTATTTATCTAGCGATTTCAATCGCTAGATATTTACTTCTATCTCTATAAAGAGAAAAGATTGAGGGAAGAAAAAAAAAGAGAAATGAAAAGAGAGTGAAGTTTAGATTAGATATATAAACCATTTAATAACACATACCATGCCCGGGCAGTTTTACCCTAAGGGCTGTCCCACGCCACAATAAAACTAAAATGATTGCGGGACGATAATTTCGGAAGTTGTTGATCATATTTCTCTGCGAGTTACGCATTGCTATTTTTTTACGCCAGTCGAAGTATATCTATCGACCCCAAATTGTATATTTCATTCTACGAGAAATATTAATTAAAAAAGAAAAAAAAATTTGACTATAGCAATTGGGAATCCGCCATCCTATCAGAGTTTGACGGAACCCCAACACCAAATATTCGATCATTTTCCTCTGTTAGAAGATCTGCAGCTTTTATTTTACTCATCCTTTCCTTCATCCCCCCATTCCTACCCCCTTCACGCTTGGTCAAATTTATCAGAATATTTTTTCCCTTCTGGTTTTTTTTTTTTTTTACTTCTGAATATAGGTCCCTACATGGTCGGCGCTGTGTATTACAACAATAACTGTAATGATGAGAGAAATGATTGTAATAAACGTTACGCTATTACAGTACAAGCACTTACTACGCATACACAACTGGACTCCCCCCCCCTTTTTTTTAAACCAAAGTTTTATTTGTTCATTTTTATTCTTTCATTTTAATAAATTTCAACTTTCTTGTTTTTCGCGCCTGAGTTCGTAATTTTATTTCCATGGTGGTTTTAACAACTTCGAAAAATAAATAGCTTATTCTTTTTCTTGTGCCGAAAAAAAATTTTTGATTTCTGTTTTTCTTCAATTTAAAGAAATAACTAGCGTAATTCCATTATTTGCAAATTCTTTCTTTCTTTCTTCCGTTGCTAAAGGTATTCATGCAATTTGATTTTTTAAAAAAAATTAGAACAATTCTTATAAATTATATTGGTGGTTTTTAAACTATATGATAATGTAGACATTCAATTATTTTTACATTTCTATGTTTTTAGGTTATTATTTATTTTAAACTTATCTCCTTTAATTTATTTTGTATTTGTGCTCCTTAGAAAAATATGTATCAAATTAGACTGCGCTGTATTTTAGCAAAATGAAATTAAAAAGGAAATCTTTCGCGATGTGGGAAATAAAACTTTTATTTTATAATTTTTAAACTACCTAAATGAATATATCACAAAATGATTTCATTTTAACTTTAACCGGGGCTGAACAGCCGACCTATTTTTAGACTTGCGATTAAAAATGATCAACGCCACAGTCTTGTAATTTTGAATATGGCTAGGTTTAACAAATTTCTCATAAAAAATATAATTAGAGTTTTCTCTGTTTAATGTAAGGAGTTTTAAGTTTAGATGAATTAAAAAAAAATTATTTATACCATCTAAAACAAAATAATGTTGAAACTTCATAAAAAATTTAATATGACAACTAGCAGAAAATTATTTCTTGTTGAAGATGCAGAGTTTTTCTGATCTTTAATATTAGGAGACAAGACTTTACATTTTTATGTACTGGTTCAAATTTGCTATTATTAGTTTACAAATACAGAATTTTCGTACACTTTCAAATATGACAATAACAGCTATACCAGATAATAACAACAATGATTTTTTCATGCGTAATTGATTATTTCATGTTGTCAGCAGAAATGAAAGATTAACATTGACTTACTCATAACAATAAGATATATATGCTTATTATTAGAATAGATTCAAACATTCTTATTTTTAATAAGCTTTCATGATTTTTATTTTACTTCCTTGAATTTAATGAAAATCCCTTTCAACAATTATTTTATTGCTTTATTGTCGAAGCTCAAGTATCCGTAATGTCTCCTCTTTAGCATTGCGTCTTTAATTACTATTCATGAATTCGATAAATTTTTCACACTCATAAATCATTCGATTGACCTCATTGTTTTTCAATTTTTGCATTTTTCTATTAACTTTATTGATCTGAATATTTTTTTTGACATTTTTTAAGAGTTTAAATCATTAAACTAAATTTGTAATCCTTTTTTTTTTTTTTTTTTTTTTTTTTTTTTTTTTTTTTTTTTTAGCTACGGAAATAAGAAATGTCCCATTTTGAGTGCCTTAAATTCAAAACTAAACTTTAATTTTTAAATTAAAACTTTGCTAGCAATTGTTGTCTGAAAATCGAAGAGAACAAAAAGCTAAACTATTTATTTTTTTCAATGATAAAATCGCCAATTTGGCGAGATTTTCTACCTTGATAATTCTCTATTTTTGGATAGTTTTATTAGCTGAAATAAAGCTGGTCGAAGTAACTTTTCAGTTATTAAAAAGTTAAATTACAAACGCGTTTTACTTTTTTTAGAAAGAGTCGTCCCGGCTGAATGATTATTGATACTTCTTATAGTTCTTTAAGAGTGTAGCCCCTGAGTTTTACATCTGAAAGTTTGGAAAACGAAACGAACAGAGACTTAAGCTTAGAGGGTTAAGGATACAAAGCTGAAAATATTATTAAATTTTTTATTCGTCTTTTATTAATATAAAATATGTATTATTGATTTCCATTATGAACATAAAAGAAGTTCAGCATTTTAATAGCTATCTGGTATTTATTAACACATTCATAAGACATATTTTTTTCATAGGACGTACTTTTAATGTAATTTAAGTTATTGGTCTTAAGTTATTGGTATTTACTGCCAGATGGTAAATAAAGTTTAAAATCATCGATTTGTAAGGCACTTAAACTATAGTTTTTTTATTTTCCTTTGCGACAGAGCTTCGGAAAACGGTGTTTTTTGTATTGAGTACAATGACTTGTATTCAATTAATGAGCTATTTTTTTTAATTTTGTTTTTTTCTTATTTGCCAAAGCAGGTAGGTACTATGAGACTGGTTCTCTTCGCCCTGGTATAATAGGAGGTAGCAAACCTAAAGTTGCCACACCTGTAGTCGTCGCCAAAATAGAACAATACAAAAGAGAAAATCCTACTATTTTTGCATGGGAAATTAGAGAAAGGCTCATTTCAGAGGGTAAGTCATTTTTCTTATTTATTTTAATTTTAGCTGCAAATGCAATTAATTGAAAACCTTAGAACTTTTTAGGTAAACACACTCAGAATCATTACTATTTTTTAAAATGTCTGAAGAATTTTCGAAATTTTAAACAATTTTCCTTCGATTTTGCCATTTGCAACCTCAAAGAAGTTTATAAAATTTTGCCAATGTCAACAGCTGGTCTTGATTTCTGAAAAAGTCTGAAAAAGAAAATTCAATGTTGCATTCAGCACCCCTCCCTCCCCCCAAAAAATTACCTTCAAATAAATCACTTAAAATCTATTGTCTAAACAAAGCAATCAATGATACACTTACTTTCCTTTTTATCTTTCTCTCTTCAGCATTAATTATAATTTCCTCAAATCCATTTGTCTCGGATTAAGTTTCTAAGCACTTAATTTAGGTTAAGGTTTTGCACCGAATAATATTATTTAAGCCCTTTTTAGTTATAACTTATTGAAATCATCGCTCATATGACATTGTAATTTACTAAATTTAGCTCCAATACAGACACATTCAATTGGTTTGAAACTTATTACTGATGAAGTTCATCGGAAATAATGAATTCAATATTGTATTTTCTCAAAAAACACATATGCTTCAGTAAGCCATAAAAATCCTTCCAATAAATGACTTATAATTTGTCGTTGACAAATCGATCACAGGTACGTGAGTTCTCAATTTGTTTTTCGTCTGTTCTTTATCATTAAATATAACTTTCTCGAATACTTTTATCTCGAATTAAGAGTTAATTCTATCTGTTTACAACGTTTTCGTCGTATAATACTAAAACTATTTTTGTTACGTACCTGTAACAAATCGATCACAGGTACGTGTGCTCTCAATTTTTTTCCCTTCTGTTCTTTATCATTAAATATAACTTTCTCGAATAAGGAGTTAATTCCATTTGCTTACAACCTTTTTGTCGAATAATAATAAAAATACTTTTGTTTGATTTAACCCTTATATAGGGTAACGTTTTTCTTACTGAAATCAACGTTCATATGGCATTGTAATTTATCAAATTTCAATCAAATATGGACAGCCGCAATTTGTTTGCAATACGGACAACATCACTTGCTTGAAACTTGTTGCTGATGAAGATTACCAAAAACATTAAATTTAATATTGTGTTTACTTTAAAATATGCTATAAGCTGAAATTAAGATACACTGTTCGAAATTTCTTGGAAAAAAATGGTTAAATAGCAATTTATTTGTTATTTTACCATATTCAAACAAAGCAGTCGAATAACTATAAATAGGGAAGTTATCAAACTGTGAAAAAACCGTTTATTAACTGCTTTCATCTAATACGGTTAAGCAACCAGAATTTTTTCGCACCAACTAATCCCACCAAATGAAGCCATTTAGTTCTCTACAACTGCACACTTATTACAACCGAGAGGGCAAATCTGTTAGTCTCATGGCGGACAGAACTGGGGTTCGATTCCTAGCGTTAACACCTCAATATTTCTTCCCTTCCTTTCAACACATGAAGATTTTCCAGTGTCCTACACTTCCCAGTTTTGTTCCTGCACCCTACAGTGCCCATTACCTAACGAAAAGCCAACCTCCTATGTCCAGTTAAATTTTTTTACGGTTTTAAAACCATGCTAGCTGTGAAATATTTAAAAAAAAAACGTATAGTTTTGTATTCATGCTTTTGTAACCATACTAGTTGTTAGCGGTTTCAAAACCGTAAAAGTAAAAATTAACCGTAAACTTTACGGTTAATCGGATGGACAGACAGTTGCCTGTTATTTTACCACAATTTTAGAATGAAAATTCGAACAGTGTACCCTAAAAGGACCCCCAAACAAATCGCTTAAAATCCATTGTTGAACCTAAACAGAGCAATCAAAGGTGCATTTACTCTCAATTTTTTTTCCTTTTGTTCTTCATCATTAATTACAACTTTCTCGAATCCATTTGTCTGGGATTGAGAGTTAATTCTATTTGTTCATAATTTGTCCGAAGCGATTGAGTTAAACGCCTGTCAAGAGATTTCTTTTCCTATGTTGAGGTCAATATTGACTCTATATGAAAGAAGAAAATAAGAAAAGAGATTCAATCTAGCACTATACCATGTTTGCACAGAATTTCGCATGTATCTAGATGTGTTCGATTGTTTCAAGAACAACCACTTGTCTTTCATTGTTATTTGTCATATATTAATACAGAGATTCAGAAATATGTCTTCTGGTAACGATAATGAAGACTTCGTGCAATGATTTGTTTCTCATCAGGTAAACAGGGTTGGTTTTAATAGCTTGGGGGAGATATATTGTTAATATTTTTTAGTTTATAGATTAATGTTCATGAAATAGTTCATAAAAGCATTTGATTTAACTTCATGTATTATGTTTGGTGCAGTAAGCATTAAAGACTGTACTTCGTAATTTTTTTTTTCTATTAGATCTTAGTTGAGTGAAAAAATTGAGTTCACTTGATGCTACCAAGTTTTACTGTTCGCCAAATTTTTTTCCTTCTTCTTGTCGTGCTTTATTCTTTTTAAAACAAAATTAAAATCTTATCTGAAGGCATGTCGGATATTTCTGTTTTTAGTTCTTTCTGCTAGCAGAATAATAAAAAGAAACTGCTTATTGCTTACGCGTCGAATTGTTTTTAACCAGAAACATTCTTTGAAACGTTCTCCAGTTTGCAAATCTGGCTTATCATTATTTTTTTCCTAACTCATTATTTTTAACTCATTTCTTAACTCATTATCATTATTTTTTTCTGTTTTAGTTAAAACTAAAACAAATAGGATAATATTTGTTCTATGTAGGTTAAAGAAAATAACGTAAAGCAAAAATGAAAGTACAGTTCATTTGCATTTTATTCACGTTGCTTGCATGCTTTAGTCTACAAAGCACAAAAAAATACCATATCCTTTTTGGTTTTAACTAAAGAGCTAAGAAGAAAATATTGATAAGCCGGATTTGCAAACTGGAAAACGTTTTAAAGAATATTTCTGGTTAAAAACAATTCGTCATGCAAGCAATAAGAAGTTTCTTTATATTATTCTGCTTGTAGAAAAACTAGCGTCAGATAAGGTTTTAATGTCTTAAAAAGCATAAAGCACACAAGGAATCAATAAAAATAAAAACTACGTCAATCTATAGCCATAAATCTACAACGGGAAAAGATATATTCCAATTTTGTAAAATTAGCATTTAGAAAAAATAAATTAAATTACTTGCTAGAAAAATATTAAAGAACAGTATGTGAAAATAGTCAAATAGAGGCTTCTACTATAGTGCCCATATTAACACCTAATTATTTCCGTTTAAATATATAAAAAAATCTCACCAAAGAATTCTTTATTCTGTAAAGCAAACGATCTCATTACAAACACACTAACTTACACATTTCCACTACTATAAATAAACTTAATTTGAACACAAACAATTGCTAGGAATTTTCAAGGAAATCAGTTATTTCAATAAAAAGCTTCTTATTTTTGGATATAATTTTTGAGCAATACCTAGTATTTGAGTACCTCAAATTTTAAGATGGCATCCATTAAATTCAATAATGAATTCCAATTAGTCAAAAGATTTTGTTATAAATATTAAGGACCTAGATCAGTTGCTTCCAATATTAATTACTGCGAATGAACTTTATATCTAAAGTTGTATGATATATACAAGCTTCATATATATGTATTATCCAATATATTATCAAGCTTTATATATAAACTTAGATTTTTTATGTATAACATACCATAGCCAGAAAAAAAATTGGGATCCACTGACCTAGATTATTCATCCCCCAAGCTTTATGATCCTGGGCATTTCTTTTTCCAGATTTTTTTACATTCGAACATTCGATAACTATCTTTATCATCTAAATTGTTTTATTAATTACTGTCCTCATGAACAAAACTAATATATTTTTGATTTGATACAAATTATTGTATACAAACTAAATAACAATATGAACATATTAGGGGACCGGAAAGTAATGTCGTTTCGGCGCATTAAATATTCGTTTGTCTAAAAAACCACTTAATTTTTTTCGATCCATTTCGATTCATTTTCGATCCGGTATTGAAAGGTTGTTGCTAACGAGGGTAAATACATTATTGATTTAAAATAAAATCACGATAACAAATATCAAATGGACCGAAACGACATTACTTTCCGGTCCCCCTAATTTTTAGCCTAATTTTGACAAAGAAAGAAGAGCATTCCGTTGTTTGAAACAATGGCGGGGAGCGTTAAAAAATTTTTTTTGAAAGGAAGTTTCCATCTGTGAATATTGAAAATTATGTAACTTTCATATGTAAACATGTGAAGGGTTGTTGCTAAACGAGGGTGAATACATTATTAATTAAAAATAAAATTTTGATAACAAATATCTAATGCGCCGAAACGACACTACTTTCCGGTCCCCCTTAATTTTTAGGCCTAAATTTGACAAACGCCTGAAAATTCCTTTGAAGTTTCTTCGACTCTCCCACAAGCAGTTATTTGAATCAATTACATCACCTTCCTGTCATAAAACTATTTTTCCCATCCACAGATTCCAATTTTTTTTTTCTTTTCTGAAAAAAAAAAAAGATGCGGGCAAAAATAATAAAACAACGCTTGAAGTAGGCGTTGAGGTCTGTTTGAATTCAAAATCCCTCACATTCAATGACTGCGCATCAAAACCTAATTGAAGGTTTAAGGAATGGCTACTGTGCTGCGGGGGAATACCATCCTCCTCCCCCCTGCAATCTACTCCTCAAAATTCGAAGGGTCAAGGGTCAGACGCTTAGTCAAATATGAAATACCTGTTACTGTGGCATAAAGAGCAGCGGGGCGTTGTGATGTGAAAAACAATCGTTTATTAAGAGAAAGAAAAGCATTCCGTAGTTTGAAACAATGGTGGGGAGTGTTAAAAAATAATTTTTGAAAGGTAGTTTACGTATTTTAAGTCTTGAAAACGTGCAATCATTTTCCATTTGTAAAATATTTCGGTAAATGT